AAGTGCACAAAACGCACTTATCAGTGTGACTAGAGTGAGTGACCTTAAAGAAAAGTTATTCGATTAGTTGTACTCTAGTGTTTTATTTGTTGTTGGGAGTTTCTAAGAATTCTTGAAGGTTTATTGAACTCATGAGTAGAACACTACATTCTGAAATATATTTTGTTTCACATTCAGTCGCTTTCAATTAATTCAATAGTTTTTCATATATTTAGTTTCATTTGAGAATTTCAATTCTTTTGATTTTTGTCAAGGCTATGTGCGTCAAAGTGGGAGACTTGGCCTTGACATGTTGAATCAATTTCTCGATCTTATAGCCAGCCACCTACATTGTTAAAGACTTGAGATTTGATGTCCAATTTTTGCTATCCAATTTATTGTCCACCTAATTAATTATTTTGAAATTAACATGTCATCTCAAATTTATCCTCATTAACGTCATCGCTAATCCAACAAATTGATGACGTGTTAATTTAAAATGACGTGTCAATAATTAATTGGATGGACAGCAAATTGAACGGCAAAAATTGGACTGCGGATCTCAAACCCATTGTTAACATGGAGGGAGTGTGAAAGAAATTTTTGTAGAGATCTTTGGATGAAATGTAAAATTAAAACTTATATGGTTAATCATTCCTACCTAACCTTGGATATTGAATTTTAATTCAGACCAAACCAAGAAGAAAACAATTTTCATAGAAATTAGGTGCTAAAGATAGGACCAAAACATCGTATGATGTGCTAAAAATGGAAAATTATCACAAATATTAGTAACGATGATTTTTTATGACATGTTTGGTATGGTAAATTAGACTCAATTAAATACACTTATTAAAAGAGAAAATAGATACATCCATACTCGTAAATTTAAAATGAAATGCATTCTTAAATGTAAATTTCTAATTAACTTATAATTTTAATTAATAACACTGAAATGTATAAATAAAGATGAATATTAATTTGAATTTGAGTGTTAATTAATTGAAAATTAATAATAAAAAATTCATATATTAATGAAAGGACACTGGTGAAATGAATTTGTCAAATGTATATGTGCATTGATGGTAACTAAATTGTTAAATAAATTAAATACATACTAAAAATAAAAAATGCGATTAAAATAATTGAATTATAATTTAGTTACGATCATTCAAAAAATGATTCTCACTCGATTTCATATTAAATATATTGTAGATTTTATATTATTTCAAGTGGGTGTATATTTTTAATACAAATATTCCATCCCTCACCACAAAACTTCTTATAATTACAATATTCCCCCATAACTTCTACTATTTTACAACAGACTCCCATTAATCTTCCCTGTATAACAGTCAATTCCTTTCCCCTCTAAAACCCTAACCCTAAACCCCAAATGCAAACCTTCATATCTAAACTCTTCCCCTCCAAACTCCAGCACCTATGGATTTTCCAAACGAGTATTATCCGATCGATGTCACAATCCACGTCCATCCCCCGGAAGCAGATCCGAGTCCGAGACCACGGCTACGACAACTACATGGAAGTCGAGAAGAAAGTGAGAAAGGTCCTCAAGTTCCAGGATTTGATCCTATCCCAACCCAACAGCATGCTTTCCGTTTCACGACTTGATATGCTCTCCCGCCGAATTGGGTTCAAGCAATTTGAAGCGGGTCGGTTTATCCTCAAGTTTCCGCACGTATTCGAGGTGTTTGATCATCCTGTTCAGCGAATACTCTTCTGCAGGCTGACAAGAAAAGCTATTTCTCAAATTGATCAAGAAAATCGCGCCCTTTTGGCCCAAATCCCCGATGCAGTGACCCGGCTAAGGAAATTGTTGATGCTCTCGAATACTGGCCGTATCCGCTTGGAACATGTCCGCATTGCTCGCAGAGAGTTTGGTTTGCCTGATGACTTTGAGTACACGGTAGTTCTAAAGCACCCAGAGTTTTTTCGATTGTTTGACGCTGATGAGACTAGGAATAAATATATTGAGATTGTAGAAAAGGATAGGAATTTAGCCGTATGTGCTATTGAGAGGGAGAGGGAAAGGGATTATAGAGAAAAGGGTGTTGATGCAGAGAATATCCGGTTTTCCTTTATTGTGAATTTCCCGCCTGGATTTAAGATTGGAAAGTATTATAAGATTGCTGTGTGGAAATGGCAGAGGCTTCCTTATTGGTCGCCGTATGAGGATATTTCTGGATATGATTTGAGGTCATTGGAAGCTCAGAAGCGGATGGAGAAGAGGGCAGTCGCAATGATTCATGAGTTGGTATCATTGACTGTGGAAAAGAAGATGACTTTGGAGAGGATAGCGCATTTTCGGATGACGATGAATTTGCCCAAGAAGTTGAAGGAGTTCTTGCTCCAGCATCAAGGGATCTTTTACATTTCAACTAGGGGGAATCACGGGAAGTTGCATACGGTGTTTCTGAGGGAGGCCTATAAGAAGGGTGAGTTGGTTGAGCCGAATGATTTGTATTTGGCGAGGAGAAAGTTGGCAGAGCTGATACTGCTCAGTCCAAGGAAAGTGAAAATGGATAAGGAGTTGGTTAATTATAGAAGGGATGGAGAGGAAGACAATAGAAGTAGGTTTAAGTTTGACGATGATTCTGAATCAAGAGAAAATGGAAAAGAAGATGAGGGGATTCTAGAAGATTCCTATGGCAATGATGATCTCAAGGATGTTTCTGAATACTCTGACGATGACAACGAATGTAACAAGTCTGACTCGGAAAATTCTTGTGTGACAGAGTGACTCTAAATTAGTCATCACTTGTTTGAGAGGTTGGCCTGGACTGAATTAAGGAAGAAAATGAAGTTAACGTCTTAATATGTTGTCCTGTCCAGCATTATCTAATATTTTGCACCAAATGTCGCCAAAGTGGCTTAACAAACCAAGAAGTCATTTGATGCAGATGAAAGTTATATCACAATCTTGAATACATACAGCTGAATTGGATAGACGACATGCTTAACGAAGACCAATGCTATGCCTGGATGCCCTATTGAGGCATAGTTCAGTGTTGGAGCATTCGCAGATGCAAGTCTATCAGTTGATTATCATTAATTATATTAGAAGTATTTTTCAAGAATGCTTTGTCATCGACTATATTCCACATCAATGCTATACCTCCTGCAAACATCAGAAAATCTTGTATGTGCCACATCCGGAAGTAGATACTTTTCATCTTCCTCCAGAGACCGTTTCTGTCATCGGGTTTAAGCAGAACATAAGAAACTCTTGCCAAGAGGGACTGGAGAACTCTTTGCCCCATCATCTGCAAGTTTTATCTAGTTTCTCCTGCTTCACCAAATTGTCACTGGGGTTGACTAACAAGAGGAAGTCTCTTAATTGTATATTTATTCTTTTATCGTGTATCCAAACGCATTTTTCTTGACTTGGCCCCTATTTGACAAAGCTTTTGAAGATTATAAGATGGTAAGACACATTAAATGCATTGAGAAAAAAAGTGGATAAAATTCGTGGATCTAATGAAATGTGTTATTCCGGCATATAATTTTTAAAAAAAACTTCATTATACATCCTCATCAAGTTCATATCAACAAATACTCTCTACTAAATATAAATTTTTTGGTTAGATTGTCAAATTAACTCATATTATATAATTGAATAAATTAAACACATTCACTCTTCCACTTCACCATCTTTAGAACCTTTCTTATTATTCATCTTATTTTGTACGAGACTAATAGCTCCCACTACATTAGGAATGGTTCGTGAAAGAATTATATCAATTCTCTACCCAAATTATCAAAATTGAAACTAGAAGTGGACAAAAATAAACAGAAAAGGACTCAACATAGACCAGCTCGTTGAAATAAATATATTTTAATCGAAAAATGGGAAATTTTTCTTGATTCTAGTTTTTATAGTTAAACTGAGAATCTGGCTAGTTTTCATCCGCACATTATATCAACAGATCCAAAAAGGAATTATAAAAATATATATAGTTCGAGCAAATATAATATCATTTAACTTCTTTTTTTATTTAATATTATCCACTACTCTCTGATCCACCCTACTAAACATAAACATGCAATAAAGAGAAATGTAATCTCTCTCCAAAACAAATGATGAGCCTTGTGTTGCAAATTTAAACGCCTAAACACGTTGCAAAGCTGAATGTCAGAAAAGCCCAAAAGTTTCATGTCCTCCAGTACCAGGCTACCAGCATATAGCAACAAAACCACGTTACAAAAACAGAAGCAGGAACAATTTACAAACTGATTTTAAGATCCATTAGCTGGCAGTGCAGATTCCTCGATTTCAATGTCTTTAACCCCATCAGTTAAAGATGATGAATCGCACCTTCTGTCTTCGGCCCAGTCCTCAAGCTCGTCTTCAACGAGCGAGCCCTTTCTACGATGTTCTCTAACTTGATGGAACTCGTCATAGTGAGCTCTACGATGCTCCCGGAAGCTCCTTTGCCTCTCAGAGTTAGAATCTGAAAGAAATGCATTTGCATTAGATTCTGGTGACCACCCAGTGAACAAAGATTCAAAATCACGTAACATTACAGTTGAAAGGATGAGGTGGAAGGACTACCATGCTTGACCTAAAAAATGAAAAGTTACTTTTAAGTTCAAAAAGTTGCTTATTTTAAAAGTAACTCTTACTTTACTTCCAATTTTGACCCATAAAAAACTATTCATTTTAGAACTTGTGTTTTTTACTTGTATGTATACTTTTTAAGCTTGCCAAACATGGTCGGTATTAAAAGCTTACGTATCTTTTTCTCATATTCTGAATTTAGACAGAAAAATCTATAGAACAGCATTAGCATGTGATGCAATGGCACATAAATAACCATATAAATAGCCTTCAACCAGCATAACCTTTAAACATCAAACAATTCATTTGATCAGACAAAAACGCAGGTGAACCTGATACAATTAGGACAATTAGGTTATGTGAAAATTTTCGTAGTCATAATATGCATTCCAAAAAAGATTTATGCATATTTAGAATTAGTGCAAATGAGATAAGAGACGACCTTCTTCATCTTGATCCATTGCATCCTCTTCTTCAGATGATGTCCAGCCTGAGCGATGATGGTTATTTTTGCTTGAGGAAGCCACATCATTCAATGCCGAACGTATTGCATCTGCATGCGTAGAATCTCCAAAGCTGTCCTCAAAACTTCCCCTAATAGGAGATAATGATCCTACATTCATCAATATTCGAAGTTCAGGAAAAAGAATAGATTTGTGAAAATTGAAGCTGTAGAAGTAGTTCCCTTCCAAGACAAATGACTTCAGGTTGGACCTCAAACAGCAAATCTAAAAAGTGGATTTTTGCCCATCAATGAATTAAAGGACCAATCAAGAAGAAAAACAATGAGAACTTATCAACTGAATAAATGTCAATATTATTAATGTAAGAAACTTATTGGGTTATGCAACATTCCCATTTCATCGACCAACAGTAACTTACTATAGCATAAATGCAAAATTACTGTTTTCTACACAGCATTCACCAGCTCTTGGCCATGAGAATTGGTGCTGGTTAGCATATATATATATATATATATATATATAAGGCATCCGCCCCCGCCCACACCCCCGCCCAAAAAAATAAATAAGAAAAAAAATACCCTAACACTAAAGGCAAAAGAGTAAGAACAGTACAGGTCTGCTAGATGCTTTAGGACCAACCCATTAATGAGTTCGGGCAACACAGAACGTGACACATATATATATATATATATATGACCAATTCAGAGTATGAACCAAAGAATAAACATACATATATGCATAGGCTCTCCTCTCCATTGGGTTAGGTTTAGCGCACAAACATGGGACTTGGGCAAACTCACTACACAAATACTTCAATCACCTTTACATAGTAACACCTCAAGAATCAACATTTGTAAACATGAGGCAGTCCCCAAAAAATTTATTAAACTCCTAGTCTTTGGAAGAACCGTTGTCCTTGAAGAGCATAGTGAAAAACTCTGAAATCACTGGAAGTTCTTGAATTTATCCTAGAATTGTGATGAAGGTTTCCCTTGCATCACTGAATAAGAATTAAATCCAAGACACCTTAAGGTATTCAAAAGCGTTTAAGATTAGGCCAAAATGTTGTCAGCGGTCTTAAATTCTTAAACTTACTACCCCTCAAGAATTTTAATTTTTTCCTCCTCACATAACAAGAGTTGGTTGTACGCAATATAAAATTCTAGATTCCCTATACTCAGATGTCAACAAAGAATCACTTTATGAACACAGAAAATTGACAAATTAGCCCATGGTTCTTGCAAGGAAACTCATGCATGATCCAATCAAGATTTATGAATCATTGACTATAAAACACAGGCACGGGTTGAAATAAGTAGGCCCTAGAAATCATTGTTCCAGTGGATGAAGATCAAAACTCATCAGCAAACTCTAGTGGATTAAAAAGATTTTATTATTATTGATTAAAAAAATAACAGTCTTTACAATCAAAACATATATATAGCATGTGAAAGAAACTCAATAAGCATACCATCATCATCAATCATGGGATGATATGGCGTCTTTGGTTCAGTTATTTTTTGCCTTACAGGTTTATTCGCCTCAATTTCCTCCAGATTAGCTTCATCCCATTTCACCCGTGCCCTGGCACCTCAATTAAATTGCTCCTGTCAGTATGATTTTGATAACTGAAAAACTTCATAGCGTGCATGTTATTATATTCAAAAGTCAAGCAATATTATCATAACATATTGCATCAAAAAGATGTAAAAGACAACATGGACAGTCCATTAATTCCCTGAAAGAGTATTTAGGAGCAGAATTAAATGCAATACACTATAACCACAGCTTACTCATGCACAAATCTTCCCCAGATGATAAAATTGAAAAAGGTACACCACGGTACATGAGGTGTTGATTAAGCGGGAAACATAATACATAATGAGTGTGTGCGCCATTCATCAAATTTCAAGCCACTTTAGTTACATTGAATAAATAAAATGATGTACTTTTCGTGCAATAGGTTCAGCAAATGGTGATTCAATGAGTCTTCAAGACAGTTGCCTGTTTTAAATTCGCAAAGAAAAATAAGGGCCACTATTAATGAATCTGGTTAACCACAGCAGGCAAAGCATTAAATAACTTACTTCTTCGTTTCAGGAATTTGATCGTCCCCAGACATTCCCAAATCACACCAAGCAATTGACAACCGTCCTGATTACATTGATTCATAAATAAAAAATAAAAATAAAAAAACATGCTTGTTACATCTAATGCACAATAAAAATGAAGTAGTTTTTTTTTTTTTTTTCCAAATAAACAACTTTAAAGGAAAAAAGAAGTGCAAATTTCCAATCTTTCATACACAACAAGGCCACAATTAAAAAATCTCGAAGAACAACAGAAATCGTATGGTATAATGCTGATAATGTTAAACAATGCTAAATACAAGCTAATATTAGTAACATGGTTTCTAGATCGAGTTTTGCATCACAATCATATGAATATTACCAGATCCAAAATAAAAAAAAATTGAAACAGAAACGAAAAAAAAAACTCTAACGAGTATTCGACATGATTATACTTTTGTAATTACGGAAAGATAAACGGGTAGAGATTGATCCAGATCCCTAAAAAATATACCAAAAATCCAATCAAATCCTATGGTGTTTTCCGAAACTAAGACAATAATTTCGGAAAAAAGTGTAGATCCTCTAATAAAAAATCAAACACGATAGGTATTTTGCAATTATATGGCAAAAAAATATATTCCTGTTC